TGGTAATATTTTATGAGAAATAGTCTGTATTTCTCATTTTTTTTATTCTTTTGCGTAAAACTAAAATTCATGCCAATATTTTTCCATGATTTATAATAATTGGAGTAATGCAAATGCATATTTTCTTTTAAAAAGTCAGTTTTTAGTGAAATTTTGCCGGGAATGGGGCTTTAAGAATTGATTTTTCAGGATTTGGGATAAGCGTTTATCTATTCGTATTCATATACTGTCGTATCTTACCTGTGGGTAATGCTATTGTAACCAGTTGTTAGTCCGGCTATCTTTCGCTGAGGACATTTGACCAATATGCCAGCTGATGAAACTATAAGACCGATAAAAGCTAGGACAATAATCAAGCGACACATTCCAGCAGTCCTCAGCCGAAAAACTGATGTTATAGCTCCTCCAAGAATGACTCCAATCAAAGTACCAGGTAGAAATACTACACCTGATTTAAAAGAATAAACAACATCGTAAGAGTAAAAGTAAATTGCATACTTATTGTTTCATGAACATTTTATTCGTTTAAAAATGTAAAAATCGCGAACACACAAAAATAAATGACACAATATAATAAAAGCTCTCATCATGTATTGTCCCTAAATAAATTCAGATTATACTGGAAAGTTTCCTTTGTTACAAGTCAGTCAGGATTAGACTTACAGAATCATTAGTCAGTTATTGACCACATATTGTCGTTGTCATTATTATTATTATTATTTTTATTTTTTATTATTATTATTATTATTAATATTATTATCATTGTTATTATCGTCATCGTCAACATTATTATTATTATTATTTTTTAATACTATAATATTAGTAGTCAAATATTATTATTGACCAATAAATCATAAAGATTTAAGCATACCAGTAAAAAATGCCGCCTTTGTTGGATGTAGATCGAACTGCGTTTCCAAGTACTTTGCAAAGAAGTACGTAAGCCCAACTCCAATAGATGCACTCGCCGCAATGCCGAGGTTGAGTGACATGGTTATTGGATTCGTTACCATTCTTTTTAACGCTACCAAGAACTCTGAAACAATAATGGCGTTGTATCAATTAGTCTCATGAATAGTATCACGGTAACAGTGTGTATCTCTTTTCAAATATTATTATTTTTACCTTTGATCAAAATTATTAATCCTTGCTTTTCTTCAGAAGGTTGTAAGGATCTGTAGGCTGCTGCAACGTCAAAATCATCATCCGTAGGTTTTCGTCTTATTCGAGACATGCACGAACTTTCCCAAACTGCCAGCTTTCGTGGGAAGAACAATAATGGTATACTGAAAACGATAGTAAGTGTACCGAATATGACGAATCCAAGCCACCAAGCCCCTATTGAACCACTTCCATCAGCTTGAATGCTCGTATCATCATGTTTGTAAAAATCTGTGCGATATCCCAGCACTTTTGCAGTGACACTAAATCCGGCAAACGGTCCAGCCGACGCAAGAAACAGGATGATTGCTGTAGTAGTAGAACACATATATCATTATGAATGTTGCTAGTCACTTTCATAATTCTTCAAATTTAGGAATTCTAAATTGTTTCCAAGATTTTGATAAGAGTGATGGTTTATGATTATACCTCTACATTTAAGCAAATAATGTTGAGCTATACTTACCAACATACAATCCTGTCGTTGACCTGTCTTTTGTCGAGTCATCCAAATAGGTTATACCAAGGGGGTACAGAGCTGCATTGCCTATTCCCAATATAACCTGACCTAGAGCGATGGGCCAAATATCTATTAGTTGACCATATTTAACTTCATTTGTCTCCTGTTCTGTACATGAATGTTCTGTGTTCTCTGGGGAACACATCAGTGTGTTGTTCATGCCACTCGCATAGAAACCATAGCCACTGTCGCTTGTAGGTTGGTATGGCACAAAAATCACATGGGGTAGTGCATTCAACAGTAAACCAATTCCAACTGTAATTCCACTGACGCCTAAGACACGTGGTATATGCAGCTTTGCGCCAAAATAACAGACAAATATTAAGACTGAAAGTGACGAAATGCTATTGAGTGTGGACAATGTTCCGGAAGTAGTGCTTGATATTTGAAAACGTCGTTCAATTGTCGTTAGAACTCCGCCTATGTACCCATACAAAGTGGCTGAATCGAGAAATATTATTGTGCTAAACAACACAATGAACGTTATTGGATGGGTTAAGTAACTTGGCTTGGTATTTGTTGTCAAATCATCATCATCCTCTGACTTTTCTTGGTATTCAATTTTCTTAGTCATCTTGGTCTATAAAAAAAAAATGAGCCTAAATATTTTGCTTAAAGTGGCGGATTTTGCCATGACACCTTCTAAATTCAGACCTAATTTTCTTTTTCACATTTTCTTTCAATTTTTAACCCGCTTAGACCCGCCCATTATTGCATCCAAAGAAGAACTATTAGGCTTACTATTTGTTGATACATTTGTGGTTTATTTTCAGTATTTTCCTCTTCAACGTGTATATAAATGTTATGGGGCCATTAACGTTCGCTTAAGCTATCTCACTAATAATACAAAAAGCATAACAGAACGTTAATGTGAAAACCTTGATAACTCATAATTTCCAATGGTGGACAAAATAAAACAATGTTGTTGAAATCTGTACACCCGCACGTTTTTACTTTTCATTATTTTTAGGCATACTTTATCTTAAATTTTTGGATCCGCCACTGTTAGGTTATGCCTACATTTATTTTACTATAATATAATGTTGAATACTGTTATGTTATTTTTACTATAATAACTATATTTTGTAATAGTTTAGTCTGAATTCATGGGCGTCGATCGGTGGGGAACAGGGGGAACACGTCCCCCCACTTTTCAAAGTAGGGAGGACATCATAACGATTGCGCCCCCCCCCCACCACTTTCCACAAATCTTCTATAATTAAAACCCCACTTTTAAAAGTTTATGGAAAGAATAACAATTACGCATGACCAAAACTGAGTAAAAACGCAATTGTTTATACATTCCATAACCATCTCAGAAACACTAGATCGATTTCATGGGTGCAGCGGTTATCAGAGGATAAATTTATTTTGAAAAGAATGTACTTAACGTTGTTAAAATTGGAAGCGTGTTTACTTATTAGGCCAATGTTTTTACAAACTCAAAATTGCACAATTTCTACTATAAACGATTTATTCCTTTTGTATATACTAGTGTTTAATATTTTCAACATACAAAGGATTACTGTTTTTCCTAATTTAAAAAAAATATATATAGTTGGTCAACTGAATTTTATATACCCATTATTAAACAATAATTATACAGCCTTTGACCGGACATGTCTATCTATTTCGATTTAGTGATACACAAATTTTACAAACTCCAGTGTTACGTTGACGCAATCTCGCAATGACGTCAAAATAATCAGTGGCGAATTCAAGTTGGGCCGAGCCAACGTTAAATTTTTCAAAATTATTTTTTTTAAATGAAAAAAAAAAAAAACAAAAGCAAAATTATAATTAAAATTTAGGTCTGAGAGTGCAATTTCCGGCAATCTAGAGCTGTCACAATCATAAATTTTCTTTCCTCAGCCCCAACCATGGTGGAGCTCAGGTGATCTACTTTCCCAAATTGTGCAAGTCCTTCCCTGCCCTCCCCCTAATTTGCATTCCTGGGGCCGCCACTGATAATGATAAATTAAGTAAATCACCTTATATTTATGAAATCAAAATGCTAACTAATGTTTTGTGTGCTCCCTATCTCCCTAGTCCTGTTTTATCGTAAATTAATAATAATAATAATAATAATAATAATAATAATAATAATAATAATAATAATAATAATAATAATAATTTTACGATAGTTTGATTAATTAAAATTACGTCCACGCAAAACCTGCTTTTAAATAAAAATGTTATCTACCGTACTGTATTTGATTCTGTTTTTAAAAAATAATCTTATAAATTATAAGTTTATTTTCTGTGATAATTTTATCCACACAGGCTAATTCATGTTTTCAATATTATTATGGTTGATAAATAATATATATAAAATAATGATAATAATAATTAAGGTGCTCGAATAATGCTTTAATAAAGAATTAATAATACTTCATACTTCAATTGGCCTATTTACGATAGTGTGATTAATGAGACATTTGTTGATTAATTTATAGAAATCTATAATAGGTATATACCATTAATAATGATTCAGCATAATAAATCAATTAAAAAACTAGTGACGCCGGGGCAAATAGTTGATAGTAAATAACAGTACAATGAATATCCACATAATTGTTGAATGCAGTGACCTGCCTCTAGTAATACATTAAAAACACAAATTATAATTCGGGACAAAAATTGTCTTTACATGATATGACCCATGTTATGTGTACATCGTGAACTCAAGCGGTAAAGTAGTATACGTACCGTCCCGATTCAAGGAATGACGCCGGGACCGTATTGATAATAATGGCTACGATGAATTTTCATTTGAAACATCTTACTTGAATCTATTATACTGTGTATGATGATGGTGATTAGGCATACAGATTTCAAGAAAAATACAAAAACAGCATTTTTGCATACGTATTTGTGACATAGTTTTATGTACTTATTAAAACATTGATACAAACCAAAGTTGTCAGTTATTTCATTTGAAACCAGTGTCAGTATAATCTTAGGTAAGCATCTGGTTAAAATAAGCAAGATTAGTCCAATGAAACTGTTTATCATCTTGATACCTTCCGAAGAAAATTGACCCTACCGGTGTCACCACGGCGTCCCCACCGAAAGATCTAACGTTCGGTGGGTGTTTTATAGATTAATGAGAATGGTAATATCACCGAAAAAATAGATAAAATAACAGATGAATGACCAACAAAGACAACTGAAGACAATAGTTCGTTATTAGAAGTTATTTAGTATTTATTCGGAAAATTAATCTCAAAATCGAGTTGCCGTCTGCGACGTTGTATGGTTTGTGTGCGAGTTTTACAAATTAACTCCTAAGTAAAAAATAGTTGAGCCATGTACTATCTTGCAAATTAACCAGCAACCCGGTAGTTTGTTGATTGTTTATTCATAGTTACCAACCTGAGAGATTTGAAATGCGTGAGTGACTAGGCCTATACCAGTTGGCTGGGAGGGGGGGGGGGGGGTCCAAGCGGCAGGGGAACCACCCCACCCCCACCCCCGACGATCTGATCATTTTTAAGTTGTTTTAAAACGATTTCAGGAAGTGTTGATAATACAGGTACATAAGCAAAAATATTATTAATAAAGCCAATTTGTATTTCAATGTAGGCCTATGTTTAACTTGAGCACCCTAACTTTGTAGACCTACAGTAATATTTCATTACTGGTCAATTTTTAGTAACTCGTTAGTGAAATAAGTAGGGTTTTCAAGGAAATACTGTACTCTCTAATGACTCAAGTTACCGCATCACTTTTTATAGTTTTAATCCAACCAATTTCTTCAAGTTTTAAATACATTTCCCCTGAATTTGTAATAAATCGTTATCACGCATGGACTTTTGTTAAATGCGTGACAAATTTAGGATCACGCATGTGTTTCTGCAAATGTGTGTTTCATCCAAAATCACATTGAAATACGGGACCGTCCCGTTGGTAACTATGATTATATGTATTATATTATTGTTACTGTATAGGCCTTTTCCTTGCGGTTATAAAGCGCACGCCAAATCTCAAAGCTCAGGTGGGAAAAACCCAAGGCAGTATGTAATACAGTACAGCATTAAACATAAATCACGAGTGAAACGGTATGGTCAGTGCTACGCATACACAGTTGACGTATTATAGGAACATTATTTTATTTGGCACGAATATTTCGCCCCGGTTCCTAAATAATAATAATAATAATAATAATAATAATAATAATAATAATAATAATAATAATAATAATAACAATAATATAATATTCCTATAATACGTCAACTGTGTATGATTTATATATATATATTTATTTATTTCATTTTTCATTTCATTATTTATTGTCAAGTCTTTTATGAGATGTGTATAAGAGACAGAAAACAACCAGACTGAACCAACTCACTGTAGCAAACCCGGTTTACCCAACCCCAAATCTAGCAACACATTAAAACATCAAACATTACAGCGAATCAAAATACAAAGAAACCTTACGAAGAAAAGAGGATGGTCTTTCTAAAGCTGCAGCATCGGTTAACAATCTAGGGAGCTGGTCCCAGACACGAGGCAACCTAATGGCTACCGAGTTGAAAAATGCTTGGGTCCTTGATGCTTGGTGACGGAAACACAAGCGATCATTATGTCTGGTATTGATTTTGATACAATCATAAACCGTGCTCAGTTTAGAAGAACCATCAGAACTTTAAAGCAAAAAATAATAAGCAATTTGTCCCTTCTGACAGACAAAGATGAAAAAGAAAGCAAATGTAACCTCTCCTCAAAGCTCATCTGTCTTCGATGTTGTTTAAGAGAAATACGAGTTGCTCTTCAATGGACTTCCTCAAACAGATCTGACAAAGTTTTAGTCCATGGAAACCTGGCGGGTTGAGCATACTCCAGGCCTGGCAATACAAGGCTTTTGTAGAGAGACAAAAATGCACTGGTCGAAGCATGTCCAGCCACGCTCCAAACAAAACCAAGCATACGTTTAGCTTTGGAAACAATGGCATGGACATGGTCCTCCCAGGTCAATTTTGAGTTGAAAGTAACACCAAGGTATTTAATGGTGGTCACCGGACTAATAACAGAGCCAGACAAGAAATAGGAAGACAGTTGTTTATTACGCGAGCGTGTGATATGTAAAACATTTATAGTATAAATCAAAATACTGTATAATATATAATTTATATATATATATATTATATACATATACTGTAATATAAATCATCAAAGGTACATATACAGTGTTTAATAAGGACATGATGGAACATCGTAGTTCATTTATTCAACAGTGTTAACGGCTAACTCCCTTCAATATCAT